AATTAACCTGCATACGACAAAGAATAAATTAACCTGCATACGACAAACAAAGAATAAATTAATCTACATACGGCAAATAAACAATAAATTAAACTTAACTATTGTTATAGGGATTATGTGATATGTTGAGTATTTGCATGAATGCTGAATCAGCATTATATTTTCATACATTAATTGTTTTCCTTTATATTTTTTGGAATCTATTCTGCCTACGTTGCTTTTTTTCATCATTCATATATCAAAATATTTGTATGATTTAGGAGATAGATGCTGTGACCACTGGTTTTTGTAAGTTTTATACTTTTCAAAGCAACAACTTACAAAGATTTTCCTTTTAGAAAACAATATTTCAATTTCCTTCTTAAACATTGCTCCCTTTGAAATCTACTTGCTCTGTTTTTGTCCTCTAATGCTATTTGTGATTAGCCTTTTAGCTTTTAGCTAGTGATGTACTTCATTTAGCTTTTAGCTAGTATTCTGTTACTTTTGGCCAGTGTTCGGCTTTGTTTAGCTTTCACAACTCAGTTTCAGCCTTTTCAGCAAAATTAATTGTAACTAGCGTTTTAGTGTTCAGAGATTTTTTTTGTATAAACATGTTTTCCTCATTTTGAACAAAGTTATTTGTTTTGCTTTAAATCAACATCTTTAAATACCATATTTGCCATTTTTTTGCATTTAGTCTTCTTCCATGTGGATCTAATGCTCAACAATTCAAATAAACATTTAAATAAATCTGTCTGCAAAGCATTTAAACATGACTATTGAAGTTTTCATTTATAAGGAATAAGTTCAGTAAACTATTGTGCATACAGCTTTTTGTGATTTTTTTTATATTACCATGAAATAAACAAGCAGAAAATAATCTGTAGGGGGGCAGAGAACTTGGTGCAAATACATTATCCTCTGCTAAATGTAACATTTAAAACATGGAAACAGGAAGTGCACTGGTGGACATTACTGTTGGTAAACTCCTACAGTGATCTGGTGTTGGGGTACCATGAGTGAGACATGGAGTTCATCTTAAAGCTACCAGGCTATGGATGGTTCATTGTAAACTACATCTAATCAACACTGTTCAACCAACTGGTCAGATGTGAACTTAAACACAAAACATAAATCAGCAAAGTTCTTAAGTTCCAGCATCTGGCCCCGCAGCTAACAGACGATATAAATTTAACACGTAAATTTGGAATTTAGGAATATTTTTGCTCCACTGAACTTACGTCTCGGTCTTGTTGGACTGTCGTCGGCAGGGCACGGTGTTGCTAACACAGGTCCCTGTCACGGGGTCAACTGCCTCTACGATGACGAAAGGTCGCTCCTCCAGGGTGGCCACCGTCAGGTGTCTGTAATCCGACACCGGCTGCAGGTAGGAACCGAACCGTGGCCAGACGGGGTATCTCATCTGCAGGATCCCCATCTCATAGGTCCCCACCTGAAGAGGAAGGAGAGGATGGTGTCATTACAGCAACTTCACAGAGAAAGCACCTTTTTTTTTTTTTTTTTACTGAAAAGGTTTGATAAATAAATGCATTACTAAAAATAGGCCTCGTTCATGTACAATGAAGCTATTCAAGGCATAAAACAGATTGCTGTTAGTCTAAACACTTACCTCATTTATTTAGTTGCGCAATGTTATGTCTTTTTAGATTTGAATTAGGCCTGTCGCAATAAACAATAAATCAATTAATCGCATGATGAATGAAAAATATCGATCTCATTTTCATTTATCGGCTTTATCGTTTCTTCGTGTTTCTTTCTACTGAAGGCACTGGATGACAAAAGGCTCAACTCCGGTGCTCTTCACTGACTCCTCCCTCTCTCTTTTCTCTTTAAAATCTGTTTTAACCGTCCAAAATCACATTTTTGGATCGTTAAAAGCAGCTAAGCTGAGAAGCTAAGCTACGAGCTAAGCTAACAGGCCGGCCTCGGGGGGGAAAAAAAACCTCTGTCTTGTCAAAGCTCCAAAATTCACGGTTGAAACTTGCGCGTTCATGTAAAAAGTTGTTTTTTCTCTGCAAAAAGAAGCTGAGAACTTGTTTACTGATTTTTTTTTTATTTATTTTTATTAAAAGCTTTGCATGACAAATGCTATGCTAAAGAGCTCAAACCGCACTGAGCGTCTGCCATTTTGAGAACCGAAAAATAGGAAGGAGAGACGGCCCATGTCACGTCAAGGGGCCTCCCTCCCATTTTTCTAAAAGAGACACGTTGCTCGCTCCCTCACTATCCATCCTTTGATTCAAACAGTGTTTTACTGCTATCCAGTGGTCAAAAATAGTACTACACACAAAAATTAACCAACATTTCTTCTTCAGTTTGACAATGACTAATTATTGTCAAATTTCAACCAATATTATCGTTTATCGCAATAATTTCTGAGACAATTAATCGTCCTGCAAAATTTATTGCGACAGGCCAAATCTGAATGTCTAACTCCAAAATAGTGAGGAGTTTTAGTTTGCAAAGAGTTCAAAGGAAACCAGTGTTTCCTCCAGATTACTGGCCTTGGCAGGGCACTGGGTGCTGCGTTACTAATGCTAGGTCAAAGCCACTTATCCTGTGGCTGCAATCTCAGCTCTTTGTCTGGAAGTAGCTATTCTTTGGTTGGGGGTACTCCTTTACGCTTCACTCAGTTGAATTACACATCTGAATGTAATGAAAGCAATTCCACCCTTTCTATATTGCCAATGCTTTGTGGAAACGAGCGTTCATGTGCGAGCTGAATACACGATCACAGTTTTAAGTGAAGCATTTTGAGCTTTGTTGTTTGTTGGCAACCTGTTCTGCATCGCAGTTCAAATGACTCCTCTGCTTTAAATCAGATGCAGAACAGGAGGAATGAAGGTCGCAGAGAAATCATTGAGCTTCAGTGACCACACACTCCAACACATCCTGGTGATTTGCCAGGAAACAGACAACTAATTTATCTTACATTTACGAGTTTAATAAACACAGACAAGATACACAGGTGGTTTTTGTTTGCTGCAGATGCTGGTTTTTGCAAATGATGAATTTTGCACCTTTCTGTGAAAATATCAGATGTTTGTCCTGTGAGAAGAATGGATTCTTAAGCTTACTGATGAAGGCGTTTTGATTCATTAATATGATGGTCACTGAGTGCACTTCATCTCTGGAGATTCATGCCAGCCTGATAACAAGTAACCGTCCATTCGTTGGCTTTTACTTATTTCTAGTCTACTTGAAACATGTCCAGGAGGGGAAATTTAATTCCAAACTCTGGATCTGCCCCAAGTCCTTTCCCAGTGGGATGTGGCCTGATGTTCTCATCACATGCCCAAACTACCTGAGCAGACTTTTTTTTAACGTGAGCATCAACAGCTCTACTCTGAGCTGAACTCGACCATCATTTGTAGCAAGTCAGTTTCTGCTGCCTGTGTGCTTGTACATGTAGAATCTTATCATTTCAGTCATGAATCAAACTTCATGACCACAAGTGAGGGTTTGTTTAGGAGACAAACCAATAAATTAAGAGCTTTGTCTTTTGGCTCAGCTTCTTCTTCACTACAACAGGTCGGAGCAACACCTTCAATACTGAGGGCGAATCTTTGATCCGATGACCAGTCTCTGCTTCATCCTGCCATCACTCATCATTCATTCATCCATCAGATGGATGGGAAGTGATGTGTAATGTAACAAAAATACATGTTTAGCATACCAGCATGAGCGTGAAATACCAAAACAGTTGTTAACCTTTGTACCCGTTTATGTGCCATTGCTATTTATACTCGAAGCACGTTTTCTTCTCCATGAATAAACAAATCACTCATCTCACTGAACTGAAGGACAGTCAAGACATCATGGAGGGTGAAAGTTGGCATCAGCTGAGCAGGATGTGCTGCATTCACTGTCCTAATGACACAAAGTGCTGCTCAACGTTGAAACAACTCCATATTATTACCTGGTCAACATGTATGTGCACAAAAACCACACTGAGCACTGATTTGATCAACAAAGGATGATCAGAAACTAAATATGGTGTCTCTCTTAGCTTAAGCTGGTTTTATTAATCTTATTAATAATCATTATTAATAATAACAAGTCTCTCTAGTTCACTTTACTTTGTTTTGTGAAAGGAACAGGTCTAGCCAAAATGCTTGTTTTTATTCCCATGTAGTCTTCACAGCTCACGCAGGAAGGGGAGCAAACTTATTTCATCGCTGCAGACTAACCAGCTTGTCAAAACCAAATGAAACCGAGGGAACAAACGAGCGCGGGGAGAAGTGTAAACGTCTTCGTTCTCTCTTATCGACCTCTCCTGCTGTTTAACTGGAGCTCCTGTTCAGTTTCATGAAGTCGGTCTGAACATCTGATCACTGTGAATTATATCGAGGTGGGAAACACTTTGCCTGTGAATGCTTGGACTGTTAAAACAGAAGAGCTGCTTCAGATGTTTACCAAGTACAGTCAGGGAAAAATGACAAAACAGGAAGCACCAGAACATCATAGAGTTGGAGGCTGAACGTACTTTAAAGGATTGTGCATCGACTCGTGTAAAACATCTCCTTGATTTTGTCAACATTGGGCATAAGTTTGAGACGGAACAAATCTGACTGAATGATGTCAAATGCAGACTGAAGAAGATAGGAGACGTTGGCAACTGTGTTAGCTCGACAATAAACAACTGTATAGTCGGCGAAGAGATGCAAGGAGGCGTCAGGAATGCGTTGACCTACATTACTTACATAAATTGTAAAAAGCTTATCTGAAAAGAAAGCTGTAGCCATGATGCTTAAAGTCATGCGATGTTAGGGAATATTGCATTCATAGTAGTCCACAACATGCACTCTCAACTACTACCACATCAATATCTGCAAACTTACTTAAGTTATAGTCATTTTTGTGTTTTCTAAGGTCATTTGGCTCCAAACGTAAAACATTTGTGGATGTAAATTTAATGAATATTTTCTGAAAGTTTCAGTAAAATCCATCATGAGATATTTTGATAACAGAAACACAAACGCACATTTTTCTTCCTGCTGAATTAAAAAAACATGTTCTGGTAAAACTAATAATAATCATTCCTGGGGTTTGTGTGCATTACAGGCTTACAACACAAGAGTGGAGCATTTTCCAAATAGAGAAAACATAATTATCGGGAGCACTTCTCATTCTTTTTATGCGCTGCTTCTTTCTTTTGTCACGTTCCTCCTTCATCTTCAAAGTGACTCTGGGTTCTCAGAGAGCGGCTGAAGGATTTATCTTGGAATGTTTCCATTTATACAACTCCTTGGTAAAAGCATTGCAGTGATGCGGGTTTAATAAGAAAAAAAGTAATAGTTCTGTGTGTATTTAGTGTCAGGCGGGGGCTGGTTATACACAAGTGATGCATGAACAAAAGTGACCGGCAGCCTTGTAACATATACGGTGAGAGAAGCTGGCAAAAAGGCAATTCAAAAGTGGAATTGATTTTCAGCTTGCAGAGAAAATGGGCCCAAGGCAACAGAAAGTTAAACACAGAGAATGGATTGGCTTACACAACTTGGATGAAATTTAGTGAAATGAGAACAACATTGTTCTCCGAAGGAGTGGGATTTCTTTCTATTTGAAAAGGTTTGTGTAAAGGTCAGAATGATGGAAATGAGGAGAGCTGGAATCAGCGAATGGATGGATTCAGTTTTACCTCCACTTTGAACCCCTTCCTTCTGCAGTGTTTTATAGATAAAAAAAAAAAAAAAAGTAATATAGATATAGACCAAAACCTTGTGCTAATTTAACATACCTTGTATTGTTTAAATGTGTAAACTTTACTAAAGGGACTATTGGTGTACTTATGCAGATATGAACAATTGTAAGCCGAGTTTACAGTAAAAAAAAATAATTGCCGCCTTACACGTCACACCGCCGTATAAGTCGCATCAGTCCAAATATATGTAATAAAGTGGGAAAAAAAACATAAATACTTCACTTCGCTATATAAGTCGCATCTATTAGGCGTCACCGCTGACACGTCGCATTTGTTACGCGTCACTGCTGACGACCCGGAAACATGGGCCGGTGTTGTGCCAAAAATCGATGGGCTGCCATCGACGGCGGCTGCAGGAGCGTGCATGGGTGGACTTTAACAAGATTTTAACAAGATTAACACTTAAAACTAATTATTTGTTTACTCTAAATTATAGCGAAGGTGTGTCTCAGTTGAACTTTTCCTTAATAAATGCACTTTGACGTTTGCTCCAGGATTTCCGGAGCAAGACGAAGGTGGCTTCGTATGGCAAGCCAAGTGGCTCATTAATAGCCACTTTCCCCTATTAATGAGACACTTGGCTTGCCTTATTAGTCGAGGGCCCTCTAGTGGCTGAAAATGGTAGTGTTCAATATTTTCTGTCAGAAAGAATGAAATCGTCAGATCTCAGCCAAAAATTGGTTTGTAAATATAGGAAAAAAACAAACGCATACATGTGTCGCTTATCGGTATAAGTCACAGGCTAATTTATGCAAAAAAAACCAAAACTGCGATATATACAACAAAAATTACGGTAGTTATTGAAATTTAATAATGGCATGTTGTGAAACATGGAAAAAGTACCCGGACCATTTATGGCATGCGCACTCTGGAGCTGAACATGATTTGAAACAACTCCTTCTGCATTGAAACCCATTGGAAATACTTCAGCTTCTAGGAGGATAAAGGGGCAAATGGCAGTAACTAAAGTCACAATATATACACGTTGCATAGAAGTTTCCCCCAGAGGAGAAATGCAGACAGTGGATGTGGATGATGATGATGGATGTGCATCCTCATGAAGTCGCAGAAAACCAGGGCTCATTTTGCACTTTTGAACCATGATAGAACATGACGATCATATGTTGAAGAGAAACAAACACAGCTGCCTCCACACATTACAGCAGGACCACAGACAAAGTGTTGTAAATCAGGACGGAAGCTGGAACATCTGGTTCCAATTAACTCCGCAAAATGTTTCTCTTTACTTTTCTGATGCACTCATTTGACTTTAAGATCTTTGGTTGTTGCGGTACCAATCACTCTTTTGAATATTTTTGTGTTCAAGTTGTAACTTTTAATCAACCATTCAATTTGTGCACACAGAACAACGTACAACTCATCAAAAAAAGAAAGAAAGAAAAGAAATAACAGTTATGGTAAATGCTGTAATGTATGAAATAATCAAACATAAGCTGTGAACTTCCTGTGGCCGTTCCCTTGACAGTTCTCTTCAGGTTCCTTTGGTTACACTGATGGAGGAAGTTCACACTCGGGTGTTCTTCACCACATGGGGTGAAATCATTGTTTCAGTCTTAAAACAAGTTGATGAGAAGTTTACTGGGCTGTGTTTTCATTATATGTTCAGCGTGAAATGAGGAAGTATTTTAGTTCATTGCCAGTTGTTTCATTACATCTGCTGAGTGCGTCCGATCACTAAAACACATCAAAAAAGTCATTTTGTATAGAAAATACAGCAGGAAATGAGACGTGTGTTGCTCACCTTGTCCCACTGTCTCTCTCTGTCCAGAGTGATGACGATCATGGCTGGATTCACCAGGTAGCCATTACTGTTGAAGGAGAAGTCGTTGTGCTCCCAGGTTATATTCAGCATGTGTCTGGGGAGGGAAAAGAGACCGAGCTGATGTGGATGAAACGTCAAAATCACAAGTTTCCAGCAGTCTGGATTCTGTTTCTGGTCAATAATGGATTTCTTCTTGGATGACACCCTTAACGAGAAGAAATAAAAATAAATATCCTTAAACAAAAAAATCTGTTAAATCCTTTGTTTTTGCATTTATCTCTTAATGCAGGATAGATTTTATTTTGGAACAGTTAATCTTTTAATATTAGTATGAGATTTTAAACTGATTTAAAACGATTGAATGCAAAGTATTTGAGTATTTTTGTTTAAATTATACATTTATCTGTGTAATCAAAATGAAACATAATGGACATTTTTGCTGAACTGTAACGGTTCAATGCTTTTTATGGCCCAGGCAGCCGCCTCGACCGTGGATGCACCCAGCCCACTCAGACCCGATGTCTCCACCTCCTCAAATTTAAAGCAGTTTAAAATTCCCTTTTTTTAATCTCCAGTAGGATATTTATAAGTATAGGCAGACCTAAATACACCAGCTAATTAATGGTTTTCTTTCTGCCTGCAGTGATGTGTCAGGTCACTGAGTGGAGCTCAATAACAGTCACGTGTCAGGGACCAAATCAGTAACTTAGACAACATAAAGACCCGTCCACACGACTTCAAATGTTGTCAACAACAGAGATTTTCTCCTGTTCTTGCACTTCTTATCCCCACACAATGTTTTTGGTGAGAAAAACAGAGATTGTTAAAAGTGCATTATGAAATAGAGATTTGTAAAAACTCAGTGTAAAGATACCAAACAGCAATTTTTTTTTGAACAGCAATGACGGGGCCGCCTGTTTTGTGCATGATTACTATGACTTTGAGCATGCATCGGGAGATTATGACTTTGTGCGCCAAAACCAAAAACAGTGGCGCCGTTGTCAGTTTCTCTAAGATTTCTGCAACTGGAGCAGGTATTTCTGTTTACTGGTTAACTTCCTCAGCTGTCTCAGACTTTAAGGGTCAGTCCTATTCCTTGTTTCAGCTCCTTTCATAGATCAGATCTCGTAGAAGAGCACTTCTAAAGCGCAAATTTTGTTTTTAGCTTTTGTTTTGGGCCATTATCTCGTTACAAGACTCGTGATCTTTAATTGAGACCAGACTTTTTGACAAATGGGAGCAGGTTTTGCTTCAGATGCTTCATATTTCATTGTACCCAGACCACACTCGATCCAACCTGTGTCCGGTGCAGCCTACAACCCAAGAACAAAAGAGAATCTTCTTGTGTTTGACAGCAGATATAACGCTGTTTCTTAGAAACCTTCAGTTTTAAAAAAGAGCTGATGTAACTTACCTAAACAGCAGCAAATGCAGTTAGCCAATTGGTGTTTGCCCTCTAGAAACGTCTATTCTCCAGAAACGCCCACTTTTGGTCTGCAGAGACCCCCTTTTGTTTGCTCAAAATCATAGCAAAGGTGTGTCTCAGTTGAACTTTTCATTAATAAATGCACTTTGATGGTCAAATCATCTGCATTTCAAAAGCCGATACATGGAAGCATGAACGCGCAGAGGGTGACTTGCTGTGCATTTCTTCGATGGTCAAATTAGCTACATTTCGCCAGGGCGGCGCAGCGAAATGAAGCTGACTTGACGGTTACTCCAGGCAGATGAAGGTGGCAGGGTATGGCAAGCTGATTGTGTCATTAATAGCCACTTTCACCTAGTACATGATACAACGGCATGCCATACTACTCGAGTGCCATCTAGCGGCTGAAAATGGTAGTGTTCAATATTTTCAGTCAGAATGAATGAAAATGGTCATATCTCAGCCAAAAATTGGTTTATAAATATGGAAAAAATCCATAAATATGTCGTTTCAGCGTACAAGTTGCAGGGCATGTATGTTATGGAAAAAACTGTGACTTATAGGTCGAAAAATATGGTATATAGTAGGAATGCACCATAAATGTGGTACACGGTAGAAACGATAAAAATTTAGCCTACGATAAAGATCTGTCTTCTACCGGCTAACCGCTGTAATGCTGTGTCTGATATAAAATCAGAGTTGTCAGATTTAATCGTTACTTTTTTAGTTGAAAATTGTGCATAAGTGGTAAGTAATTTTTTCGAGAGCTACGTAGCGAAGCTACAAGCTAACTACAGCTGGCTTGCCGTAGTGTTGCCGTATTCAGACGCATGCGCAATACGCTGTGTTCCGTCAAATTATTATTTTTGTCTAAAGTTAAAGTAAGCATTGGTCAGTTTTAGAGAAACCTGCTCTCTGATCTGTGAAACGAACGCTGTGTTGTGTGACTTAATGCGAGGCCCTGTGGTCAAAGCCACAGACTCATTTTGTGTCAGCTCTCCATTAAAGCAGGAGGCGCCCACTAGAGGGTTGGAGGGTGAAGTGTTTCAGTGTAAAATGCTGCTCTGTTGCTGTTCATTTAAGTAAGACTGGAAACTGTTAAGAGTTAACATATTCTTTAGTTTAAAACATATGGCTAAAACTACATTTGATATATTTTGCACTGTTTTGAACTACAAGAAAGAAGCTTAATACTTGATTTGTTTATTATTTAAAAACTCTCTGGACCTGGTAGTGGAATTTTCTTAATTCAGAATATATGATGGCAAAAGGACACCCTATGCTTTTTATCATTCCTATTGAAAGTTTTATACCAAAAACATATCGTGATATATATCGTTATCGCCACCCTTCACAATACATATCGTGATATGAATTTTATGCCATATTGCACATTCCTAGTATATAGATATTGAGCTATAATTTGGTGTTGCAGTAGCTGAGTGTCATCCTCAATGTATACTCTGAGCACTGTCACTTCTTGCAAAAATTGAAATTTCTGCATGAAATTTCATAAAACATTATTTTTCACCAACATGGTCATAATTGAGTTTTCATCATAGGATGATCTGTTTTAAACCTTTGCAGGTAGTACAGTGGGCAATATGCAGGTTTTTAAGGAATGCTGGGCTTTTAAATATCTTTAGGGGTTGTCTCTAATTTAAGAGTCCTCTGAAACTAACCAGCGTGTGTGTGTGTGTGTGTGTGTGTGTGTGTGTGTGTGTGTGTGTGTTTGTTTGTGTGTGGTGGTGGGGGGTGAGGGGGGTCACTTTACTCCCTTTCATACATTGGAGCTAAACTGTAAGAACCACTGTTCTGTCTGACTGTAAGAAAAAATATACAATCTGCCACCTGTGATTCCATGATTTCATCAGATCCTCTGTTGCGTTAGACGTGTGCCGCTGTGCTCTCACCTCAGCAGAGGTGATGAAAACCTGCTGGGAGGAGGATGGTCCTCAGCCTGGTCTGTGTGAAAAGCCTGTTTAATCTGGTCACCTGCTATAATCGTATTACCAGGTGAGCTGACTCATTATCTAAAGCCTGTTTGAAGAGAGTCTCTATTCAAGCGAGCATAAATCCAACAGTAAAGGAGGCCGTTGATGTTTGATCTGACTGCAGACAGAAGAGATCAGGCGATAAAGCTAATTGAAAGTGCTTTGTTCTGTCTGGCTGACCTTCAAATTACTTGTGTTGCTCCGCATGTGCCCGCTGGCTCGAGCATGTCTAAATGGAAGAATTTGTACGGTATCAAAGCTTGAGATTATGTTCACAATTTTTGCTTTTTATGAAAAGGAGACGTAGTATCCCTGAAGGCTGCTGACTCTGAAGTGAAAACTACTTTTGACATCAGAGGGAGAGAAAGTGTTTCATAACTAAAGTTAGGGTTTTAATGATGCGCTGTGGATGGCCTGTCGTGACCATCGACTTATGCAAACAATAACACCCCCAGTCCGAAGCTACTGCAAGAACAGTTGGTTTTTTTTGTCTTTGCTTATTGCCTTTCTAATTAAAACATTCTTCTTCCAAATAGTGTTTACTTCACTCTGCATCACATAGATGGCATCAGATTGCTGTTTTATGGGCATGGTTTGATGGAAAATCACTTATCAGTCGGCACTCACACGCCACTCCTCCCAACTAAATTACCTCTCAAACTCCAAGAGATGTAAGAGCGTTTAGGTGCTGAGGAGATGTAGGGAGACACGACTGCGGAGTAGAGGACGCTATAAATCGTGCGTCACAGGAACAACCACATATTTTTTGCCAGGTCTTATAGATGTTTGGCTCCAATTACAGTACAGTTGTTGATCAAATATGGGAGAATCCACAATATGACAACACATTGTCAGACAGGGAGATTTTTCCCCTGATATATATATATATATATATATATATATATATATATATATATATATATATATATATAACCAGAAAGCATTTTATCTGAAAGGTGTTAAAGTAAAATACTGAAGGACATTAAACATCTGTCCAGATGACCTGACTGGACTTTGTTGGATTTTCTACTTGGATTTTTGAGCATGAACTTTGAAGACATTAGATACTGTTTACAATAAACATTGTTTGGTGGCAATACATAATACAGCTCAGTACTCCCAGGGTACATAACACGTACATACTCTCTATCTGGTACATATTTGTTGCTTACGTACCAAGTAAAAAGTGGTGCACCAAAAAAGCAAGTACCAGGTATGTACCCCATAATTACATCACTTCTTAATACAGGTAGGTACCAAGTATGTACCCTGTATCTGGCACTTAAAATATACATGTATTGTACATTTTGGCATGGACCTAGTACTTACATGGACCTAGTACTTGCATGGTACCTGAAAAATAATGATCTGGAAAGGAGTCGAATCAGGCTGGACAAATTTGGTCCAAGTCAACCTTAAGCAATGTTTGATTGTAGTACTATTAAAGCTCAGTACTTTCCAGGGTTGGTAGGTACCAAGTGAGTACCATGACTGTAGCATGTCAGGATGTGTTAAGTACTGGGTTCAGCCAAGTCACCTTAGAAACCAGTCATGCAGCATGTTGTACTGAGTACATATGTGATATTTACATCTAACCTAATAAATGTGTGGATGATGGCATCTAGAATTAGTTATTGCAGAATAGGGCAAGTCAAATTTTATTTTTACAACAATGAACATTATTTGACAGAAGCATATATTACTGCCCGGTTATTACACTGTAAGTACTAGGTACATACACCTGGTAAGTACCATGCACTAACCTTTAAACTAACCAAACTGTTTTAAAAAGTATACAAATATAAATTGGAAGAAAAAAAGAAGTATTAAAAAATGTAGATATGATATATGAACAATTACATAATTAAAAAGTTGTTTTTATGAATCTCATCATTTTGCATGCCAAAGGTTAAAACAAAGATTTGGGATCTACTCTTGACTCCATGACTCTTGGCTACTACCAGAAGAAAGTTTGAGCTGCTTATGTGTGAAATCACTGAGTTATAGACATTATTGTGTTTAAGGTCAGTTGGTTATGGCAGACGGTTTCATTCAAATTTATTTAGAGGTTCGTGAAACATTTTGTTGACAAACAGCGATACAAGCCTTGTGATAATAATAAAACTATTAAATACTCAAACAAGAGATTGACCAAAGTGTAGTTTACCTGAACAGGGTGTCATTAGCTGCTGGTAATTTGACGGGGTTATGACAGTCACTGTGACCCTCAGGGATAAAGCCTCTTTGTTTCCGAAAGCCTTGGACGCCTTTCACCACAATGGCCACTCCATCCCGCACCCTCTTCCTCAGACTCATCCTCCAGCGGTCCGTAATGATGCTGATGAGCCCCACAGGGAAGCTGCCAGGTGGGGGGATGTCTGGGTTTCCCACAGCCATGCTGGGGATAATCCAAATGTAGCCTGGCCCCACGAGTCCGGCTTCAGCTGCCATAGTAAACAGGTACTGGGCCTCTTCGTGGGAGCAGTAGACCAGCAGCACCTGAGTGTCAATCTGTTGCAGCAGCCTCCGTGCTCGTATGTCGTTCAAGCTGTCGGCGGACATGTCGAAGGACAAAACATCCTGGAGATCCCACATGAAGTAGCTGGTGTCAGTGAAGGACTTGATGTAATCCACATACGTTTCATAACCTGGATAGAGGCTGGTTATGACCACAAAACTGTCCCAGTTGTACTCCTCCATCACCTTAAACATGCCGTTGATCTGCTGCTCGATGGAGGATCCCAGTTGGAGGAAGTTGGAGCCCTCACCCTGCAGGAAGAGGAGCACCAACATCATCATTATCCAGATAACCGAGCTTTGTCTTTACTTAACCTGCAGCACACTGATTAACACGCAACGTAAAGGTTTTATTTCAATATTTTCACTCTGGCCAACGAGATCATTTATTCTCCAACAAATCATCCAGTGTGAGGTGAGTCACCCAACCAGCAGAGCCTGTAGTGCAGCTTTGACAAGACCTAAGTGGTTCTGTTTTATTTTGCTTCTCCAGGAGCTGCAAACCCATTCATCACTTAAAGCCACACGTCTTATTTTTGCCTTGAAACATCGGCCGTCATCCATACTTGCAAATTCCATGGGATAACACTATCACCGAGGCCAGCACTCGTTCTTCGTTTCATCCGTCTTTCTAGAAATTGCTCTGACCTTGAGAGACAAATGACTATAGTTGTTCTGTTAAGTCTATTATCAAAAGAAATCTGGTGAAAGAAAAAGATTAAAGCACATGTTCAGGTGCCTTACATTGTTCCTGAATATCGTCAGTAGCAACTATCTGGTGAAGGAGTGTTTCATGTGTTTAAAATTCAGCCCAAATAATAAAACAGCTGCTGCGACATTAAAGATCAGAGCGTGACTGATGCTTTTTAAATTAAAGCAATGACTAACACTGCACCTGCTTATTATTAAATTATTCTAATTTACTGTTTATGTCATTTACAATGCTGCCTGTAACAATAAAATAATGGCTTTAGAATAAAAAAAAAAAAACTAACGTGCACACCGTTACTTTTGAATTACACTTTGTAGACGGAGTACACGTGTAATCAGAGTTCAGGATTTTTTTTTTTTACCTGAAAACGTACGATTGCTTATCTTAGTTATTGTAGTTGTTACTTAAACTAGAAGCAAAGTAGCTGATAAAACTTAATAAATAAAAACAAGTAAAAAAAATTCATGCAATTTTTCTTTGTATTATTTATTATGGTCATAAATGTGGTCATCACTTTACTACTATTTAATGTTCTAAGTTTTAGGAATTGAGCCAGTTCTTTTAAAGAGTTTTAATTATCTTGTTGAAGATGTTTTGGAAATAATAGTCTAGGATTAATCCTTTTGTTTTACATTCGTTCTTTTCTTATAGTTGGTACAGTGGAGACTAGGGGTTGAATAGACTAGTCCACTAGTCGATCTCGCAAGTTTTTAAATTTCACGTGAACTAGTTGTGTCACGTGTCATGTGATCACTGCCGGGCCGCTCGCTACATAATGGATTCTTCTAAGCAGATAGAAGGCGAGGAGCAGGCCAAGTATTCCCAAACAGGTAGAAATTCATAAACAGTGTAAAAATATTTCACTAAAGGTGACTCTTACGGTTCAACCACCCGTGGTAGATTCCACCACCGCCCGCCCCGTTGTTTTTATTTTTATTTTATTTAATCCACTAAATAAAATAAAAGTAAAAACAGGGGGGCGCACTGAATCCACCACCACCAGTAGAGAATCCACCACCGTGCACGGTGGTGGATAGTTTTTATTTTTTTTAAAACATGGGCGCACCACCGCCTGTGGACAATCTGCCACCGCCGCTGTGGTTTATTTTATTTAGTAGATTAAATAAAATAAAACTTAACTTTTGCAGCTTAATAATAGTTTAGATTTTCCTGTGACTTATTTGCAGTTTGACATGTTAGGAGCATAAATATATGCTCACGATGCTTTGTTGTTCTTTTTTTTTTGTAAATAATAAATTATATTTTTTGTGAATAGCGTCTTGAGTTCCTATGACGTCACATCAACTTGTCCACGTCGACTTTTATCATGTTGAAGTCGACTTTTAAAAATAAGTAGTCATTCAACCCCTAGTGGGGACATGACTTTATTAAAAGGTATCAGAACATGGACTCAAATGTTGTTTTTGGCAGATTCTTCCACCTGCATGCATTGATCAAGTTTTTTAGACTCAGACACATTAAAAATCAGAAAAATACCCTATTTTTTATGTTTTTACAGCATGTTTTTTTTTTTTTTTTTTATACAACTTGAAGTTTAAACTTATCTGTGTGTTTTTGCAGTAGAAATGAGTTTAGACTGGTTTCAGTGGCTGGTGGCCCCCTCCTGACCTTTCTCCCCCCTCTGGAGAGAAACCACAGCGCTCCGAGCCCTCAGAGCTCAGAAAATGGAGAGGTCAAGTATCCCGAGACAACTCCCAGTCCTGTGATCTTACTCATTTCGTCTCCCGGTTGTCCTTCAGAAAATAAAAAAAATCCAGCGGTCTTTTGATGTATGAGCATCTTAGCGTTTCAGACGTCGCGGTTAAACCCACAGACTTTATGCTTCTGACAGAACCATCGTATCACACTCTTTTTCTTTTTTCTCTCATCACTTACCAAGCTGTGCAATATCTGCGAATTTCATGCATGGTACATTTTCTTTATTAAGAAATAATTTATCCAAATGTACAACCACTCTGAATGCAAAGTGGAATATTACGTCTGCTTTCTGGAGTCCGTTCTTATTCATTCTTTGATTCATTACATCAAAAGCTAAAGCTCATATATTTTCTTAAAAGTTCCTGGTCTTTCATGTCACTGGTTAAAATCTGAATATATTTTATATTCAGTTATCAGCATCTTTTCTAGGAATTGGTTCTGCTCGGTTTGAGAACCTGCAGTGGACTAAGATGGATTAGACTGCTCCAGAGGCTGGTCGGCAGCATACATTCACACCGGCTGTAGATATTTTGTGCAGGTTGGTCACGGAGGAGCTCCTGAAAATCTTATAAAATCTACTCATTTATCCTTCGGCCTTGCTGTCCCACAGCAAATCTGTTGGTGCTGTTGCCTCAGCCTTGTAGGTGTGATAGTCTGGACCTGCATCTGCAGGACGATCAGGTGATTCGCCGACAGTGCGAGGTGTCTAAATATCTACGGAAAAATACAAAAAGGTGAAAAGACATCCTGAAAACTAGAAACCGAGAGACTCGATTAGCAGAGAGCAGACTGACGGCACGGTCCAAATGAGCCCGAGGCATAACCACAGGTTCTGCTACGGCTCAAAGCCTCAAGTCACAACTGTCTCTCCAGGGTGCGGAGCGTGTAGAGCACTGCTCAACACAAAGGCTTGTAGAGAATTACAGGAAGCTAGAAGTCATTTATACACAGATGTCAGTTTTATTCTGAACCTGTAATGAATGTTTGGCAGCAAACGTAAGTAGGCTGAAATTAAACAGACGGTTTTGTGTTTAAAGTCAAAGTGTTTTGTATGTAACATTAAAGTTTAGTCATTCTGATACCTGAATGAAGGCAGAGGTAAGAGACACTTGTTTTCTGACAGTTCACCAATAATCCTTGTTGTCCCCCATCGTGGAGCGAAAAGGGGGGAATTGCTCGTCTGTCCATGCATGTTGTGAGCACGATAACTTGAAAAATCAGTGAGGTACGAATTTTCATATTGGTGTTTGGCTGCATCTAAGCATAAGAAAGGTTCCTTTCAAAAATTAGGTTGCCACCATTCAAAGTCCAAGATGGCCACCACCCAGTGGTGTAGTCTACATTTTTGTAGTGGTATACTGCACTTACAAACCAAAGTACACTGGTTAGTACAATGTAATCGTCAATTTATTTTGATTTTTAAGCACATTGTACATTTCAAAATTTCTCTTGATGCTTATATTTGAATAAATAAACGACAAACTTTGTACAACAGTTGGCTTTGTATTAAAAACATGTAGAATTTATAAAACCGTAACAAAGCAAAACATGTTCTAGTATTAAGTAGTAAGTACAGACGTATTAATTATACAAAAAACATGTTGAACCAACTCAATGTGTCTATAAAATGTTCCAAATGTGTTGACGATGACACATGTCCAATAATATGTCACATGTCATTGGGTATCTAAAAAAGTTAAGTCAGGTCCTCTGGACGGGTTCAAAAAACAAAAACATGTAGAAACGTTTCGTCTTTCATCCGAAGGACTTCTTCAGCCTGACTGAAGACAGAAGAAGTCTTTCAGATGAAAGACGAAATGTTTCTACAATTTTTTATTTTTTGAACTCGTCCAGAGGACCTGACTTAACTTTTTTTTTATATTTTTCTACCTGGATTATTGGGCACTTTTAAGTAGGTGTACTGAAATTCACAAACTTTTCTAGTGGGTATACTCCGTATACCTGTGTATCGCATAGACTACACCACTGCCACCACAATATAAATATGCAAACCAGCCTCCCCAAGCATTTAAGGAAACTCTGCTTTCCAGTTTTTATACTGCTTAAAAATATAGTTTGCTCAAATGTTTGGGGTGACTGAATATTTATCTATGTATATATATCTGTGGTGGCCGGACATCCCCTGGCTCCGCCATTGAGCCTGGTCATGGATAAAATTACTCCCCCCACTTGCCAGGACTTCTGTGCTGCATCGGACAAGCAATAAATAAATAAATAAAATACTGTAACTCCAGTCCACCTGAATATCTTGCACCAAAAACATTCATGTGTACTTGCATAATGAAAAACACATTTAGAAACAAAATCTTTCATAAAAAAAAACAAATAATTATATATATATTGTTATTTAATAACAATAACAGGGTTTTAAATTCTACTCTGAAACGTGTCTTTAATTGCTGTTTGTAAATTAGTTTATTCACTGACATTCAATACGTTTTTTAAAATAATTGAAACAGAAAACCATAAACCGGATTATGTAATTATCAGGTAAAGCTTTGTTTAGCTCAGTTCAGAAAACCTTCACAGATTAAAAAAGTGATTTAATATGATGAAAACAAATTCTAAAACCTTCGTGAAAGAATGCATGGTGCCCGCTGCCCTTCAGCTTTTAAAATCTTGCACAATCTTTTAGCCCTCAACTTATGGGTTGGGGATGACTCTCAGCTGTTACCACATAAACATTTAGCTTATTATCTGTAAAACTGACAGACATTTTAGTTTTTCCTAAGATTGATTATTTGTTGTGACTATCTTGAATTGGGTTGACTATAAACCAAAGATTACTTAGTGAGTGTTT